TATTTATCTCTCTCTCTCTCTCTCTCTCTCTCTCTCTCTCTCTCTCTCTCTCTCTCTCTCTTTCTTTCTTTCCTTTGGTACTGGGGATCAAACTCAGGACCTTGCACTTATGAGGCAGGTGGTATAGGGCATCTCTAAACTAAATCCATGGCCCAAGTCATATTCTTTCTTAAATGTCATTTATCAAAGACAGACCATTCTGTTCTCCAGTGTGGCCAGCCTTATATACATCTTTCATTACTTGTTTTTTTTTGTCTGTGTCCATCACTAGAATGTCTGTTCCATGAGGGAAGAGATAACTGTGTTCTGTGATAGTGCTGGCATCTAGGACAGTACCTGGAGAATAGTAGAAACTTAAAAATTATTTTTGAAATGAGAACATCTTTTCTGGAATTGATGAGATAATAAAATTATGACTGTATATTCCTATATCAAGAGTTTGGATAGTTAAAACTTTACTTGCTATTGTTGTTTCAGTGCTAGGGATTGAACTCAGAACCTTGGGCATCCTAGGCAAGCACTCTACGCCTGAGCTGCACTCTGGGTTTTTAAATTTTATTTTGAGACAGGGTCTTGCTAAATGGCTCATGCTGATCTTGAATTTGTGATTTTCCTACCACAGCTTCCTGAGTAGCTGTGATTATAGGTGTGTGCCATCCCATCCAGTTACTAGTTTTTAAAAAATTTTTTAGTAGTACATGTTTGCACTATATAATGTTTACATTCCTTGTGTGGGGTTGATACTTGCAATAACACATCTTAATTCCTTTTAAAATCTCCTTTCCTAGCTATTAGTTTTTGACCTAAATGTAAGAAGTATAGTTATTGTGACTTAGTTTCCGGAATAGTTGCACTGAATTTTTAGTATTCTCTTGGCTTTCACTTTCCCTCATTTTTTTATGTAGCTGTCCAGAAACATTTACTCAGCATGAGCAATAGTCCAGGACATGTGCTAAGTGCTAAAAAGACAAAAGGTAGATGAGGCACTATCCGTGGTGTTGAGGGTTGCATGTTTTAGTAAGGGGAACAGGCACTGGGGAGTCTTGGTAATGATGAACAAAGCGCTGCATGTGTACGTATCTGGGGCAGGTGTCCCTAGTACAGCTCTGACCCGGAGAAGACCCAAGGAATCTGATACGTGATTTAATGCTGCATAGACTTGCAGTTTGAAGACTAGATATTCCTCTCAGTGTGAGCCATTGTCAAAGTTCAAGAGAAGTAATTCAAAGTAGAATTAGTCATTTTGGACTTTATACTTTCAAGACAGGTAAGCAGTATACAGTGAAGTAAAAACTTACTAAGTGACTATTTAATTCTGCTTTAGTTTACATATCCGTGTAACCTGCTTATTACAAGAGACCTTTTTTATTAGTTACTTATTGTGTTGGTTAACAATTTACAGTATATTTTATCACAGTGGAAACATCCATTTTTTTCACTTGCAGATAAAGATATAAAACTGAAAATAAATGTCCCTGAATCTAAGCTTATGCTTTTTTTTTTATTCTTCCTAAAGTGGTGTCAATATTAAAATGCCCATCAACTCCAGTGGACCTGACTGGGTGACTGTGATTCCCAGCAGAATAAAAGGTAAAAAAAAGTAATGAGCTTGATGATTTGTTGTTTCTCTTGCTAAGTGGGTTGAGGTTCTTTCATCTCACTGATATTACAAAATCCATTTTTCCCTTTAGCATGTATGGTCACTTCTGGTCATAACTCAAAATATTTAAAGCTGATGTTTGAAAATTAGCCCCTCACATGCTTAATTCTGGGTTTTGCCATTTATGCACAAGTAAAAGTTGTCTTCTCGTGTCACTCCTCTTCGCTGCCCCAGCTTGGCCCCTTAAGACCCTTTAGAGCTGTGCCATTCAATATGGGAGCTACTAGCTTTATGTAGTAAAGTTGAAATTAATTAAAATAAAGTGAAAATTCAACTCTGTAGCAATACATATTCAATAGCCTTTCTTCATGTTGGATGGTATATTTATTTATTTATTTATTTAGGTACCGGGGATCGAACTCGGGACCTTGGCCTTGGAGGCAGGCAGCAGAAGCACTGAGCTAAATCTTCTGCCCTTGGACAGCATTTTATATCCATAAACATATCCATGAGTGCAAAAGTTTTGTTGTACATTATTGGTCTAGAGGCACTCCACAAATGTACATAAAATGATCATGGAAAATTTTCAAATTAAAAACGTTGAATAGGGATTGAAGATAAAATTCAGCAGTTTAATGCCTGCCTAGAATGCCCAAGGCATTGGCTTTAATCCCTAGCATGTGTGTGCATATGTGTACATGCATATATACATACACAAATACACACTCACATTCACGTGTCACTGAGTTGATGAACAACAGCTCTTTTCAAAGTGAATGTCTTAGTTACTTTTCTTGGTGCTGAGACAGTACTCAAAGTTAAAGGAGGAAAGGTTTATTTTGGCTCACAGCCCATTATTGGCTGGCTCCATGGCAGAGGGGCATCGCAGAGCAGGCAGGAGGCAGCAGACAAGCAGCACCAATAGCAGCAGCAGCAGCAGCAAATGACAGCAGCAACCCTTTTTCTGTTCCAGGATGGGGTGCTCTTAATCACAGCATCTCACCTTTAATCCTGGCATCACACACCCTCAATCTATCCAGCTCTGAAAAGCCCCACCTATGACCCCGTGAGGCTCCTGGGGGGATATCTAGAAAACACAGCCACAACAGTGTGTATCACTACATCAGCATTGCCAGAGCATTTGCTAGAATCGCATATTTCCAGGTACTACTTCAGACTATTGCATCATAAATTCTGGCTGGTGGTGCTCAGTAGTATGTGCTTTAACAAACTTTCCAGGTGTTTTTGATCCACTGATACAGGGTACTACAAGTAAAAGAGTGTTATATTTTTTGCAATATAGATATAATTAGCTACAGTGATTTTATAGAAGGATGAATATTATTGAGATTTATGAAGATAGTGGGCAAGATCCTGTAGGTGGGAGGATAAGGCAGGAGTGAGTTCGCTGTGAGTTCAAGTCCAGCCTTGGCTACATATTGAGTTCAAGGTCAGCCAGTGTGAACCACATAGTTAGACCCTGTCTCAAAAAAACAAACAAAAACAAAAACAAAAAAACACACAAAACAAAAACAAAAGCAATGGCATCTAATTCAAAAGTCTTAAAATATTATATGGTTTAAGTAAAATGTATTTGTGGCCCAGATGCAGGTGAGGTACTGCCAGCTGTATCTGTGGACTCCATTGTCATATACCAAAAAATTTCCGTAATTTTCCTGATGAAGAGTTATAGTTGATTTACTTAACTTAGACAAATCACTAACTTTATGGGGTACATATATGAAAATCATTAACATTTTTTCTTTCGGAGTCTCTTGCCCATGGCCAAGATGTCAGTAGACATGTTCCCTCAGAGGTACTGTAGTCCAAATACCCTCCCATCCTTTGGAGGCCCCATCCCTACAAAGACTCTACCCTTTTCCCTCATGGCCTGACCTGTCTTGCCCACCTTCTGATGATCATCTTGTGGAATGGTCAGTGAGAGGAGCTTTCATGGTTTACTGGCACCTGATGGACCTTAGAGATCGACCAGGAAGTGGTGTGGGTTTGTGATGTACTATTCTGTTTAGAACAGAGCTGGACTCAATAACTAGTGAAATATTAGATTTTTAGAGGAAGAAAATAAGTAGGAACAGAATATCCAAACTTTGAATAGGAAAACCAACATGTAGCAGGTAGATAATTGGCAAGAAAAAAAGGGCAGTTGATTTATGTAATATACATGGAGTATAGGTTGGCAGAATGTCACTGAAGTTCACTTTAGTGACCAGCAGAGGGCACTCAAAGACCCCAAATAAGGGGCTTATTCTTGCAAACATTGTGTTTTTGCTTAAAATCTCAACTATTTTAGCATTCATTGGCTCTTGTCTGCAGCAGTAATTTCTGTGCAACTGTAATGATTATAACAAAGCTCTCATTTTTTCAATGTTTATTAGTTGGAATTGTTTTCATAAAGAACAATTGTCCTGGGGCTGAGGGTATAGCTCAGTGGTGTAGCACTTGCCTAGCATAACCCTGGGTTTGATTTCTGGTACTAGAAACAAAAGTAAATAAAAAAAATAAAAATAAAAATAAAACCCAAGACAAAGAAGAGTTATTTTTTCCCACATTGGTTTAGTACAAACTCATCTTGAATTATAATCCAGCTCAATTCAATAACTTTTTTTTGCTCAAATTTTTTCACATGTGGGAGATGAAAAATCTAGTTTGGTTTCTGCACCCTTTTGACATGCTATTATCTTTTTTTTTTTTGAGCACTTCCTGGCACTATGAGGTATTTTAGGCTCATATATTTTTTCTCAAGCACTGCAACAGTTCATAATCTTCTCACATCTATCATTTATGAATCCTATATTTTGAAGTTATTTTTCCATGAAATTTTATTATTCATATATCAGCTAATTAATTTTCTTCTGAGGTAAAATTATTCTAAGATGCATATTGAGAATCCAGTGGATTTCTTGAGACTGCCAATGCTATTACCATGTGTGGGTATAAGTTCAGTTAAAAGTGAAGAAACATCTTTTTTTTTTCTTCCCTGTTCTAGACACTGAATCCAGGGCCTTTTGCACTGAGTTATATCCCTACCTCTTTTTTCTTTTCTTTTCTTTTTTTTTTTTTTGGTGCTTGGGATTGAACTTGGGACCTTGCACTTGTGAGGAAGGCAGTAGAACCACCTGGCTAAATCCCCAGCCCTCCCTAACCCTTTTTTCTTAGTTTTTATTTTGAGACAGGGTCTTGGTAAGTTACCGTGGGGAACTTGAACTTGTGATCCTCCTGCCTCAGGCTCCCTAGTAAAGGCTTGCACCACCACACCTGACAAAGAAACATGTATTTGTTTGGGGGTGTGTGTGTTGAGACAGGGTCTCACTATGTAGTTGAGACTGACCTGGAACTCACTATGTATCCCAGGCTGGTCTCAAACTCACAGGGATCCTCCTGCCTCAGCCTCCTGAGTGCTGGGATTACAAGTGTGTGCCACCCAGCTGAAACATAATTTTTTTCATTGAGTTTATTGGAAATTTGTAGGTATACAATACAGTTACATTCATCATTGGGATCTTGTACCTTTACATGATGTGTCTTGGTTCTTATTTTTTCCCCATACCTCTGCCCTCCCTTCATCCCCTCCACCCTTCCCTATTTACAAAGATTTTGTGTCCATTTTTTTCTTTTTTCATATTTTTTCTTTTCCCTTCTTGCCTTCCAGCTACCCTTCCTACTTCCCACTTTACCTATTCTTTTAGCCCTTTTCTTCCTATTTAACATTATCAATTATACAATTTGAACCTTATTTACACTTTCAGTTTTTTTGTACCAGGGATCAAACTTGGGATCTTGCACTTACGAAGCAGGCAGCAGAATGACTGAGCTAAATCCCTGGCCCTACACTTCTAGTTTTTCCACACCAGAGAAACTATTCAGTATTGACACATAAGAAACATAATTTTTAAATTAGAGTACACTGGCTTATCCAGGGTAGGTGTCTGATTTTTTAACAGGTCATCCCAGTGTTAGGATTACTGGTGAATTTTCACGAATTTTGTATTATTATCCTCAGATCATCACAGCTAAATGACTCAGGGGCTTTGATGAATTTGAACCTTTTCAGAAACTTGAGCTCATACATTTTTGGGAAGCTTATCCTGCTGAGATGTTACCTAAACTTTGACCCTTAATTCACATTGTATCCCTTTATCCAGTTTTTGTTAGGCAGTTTTGGGAAAATTACCTCTTTGCCTTTTTCTTTCTCTCCTTTTCTCCCAGTTTGGGCCCAGATGGCCCTTGTGGCAAGTGAATGACATGTGATGACATCCTTTGGAGGAAAATGCAGGTGTTGGTTTTAAAGAGAAGCCAAGACATTTTGTAGAATTTGGGGTATTACTTATGAATAATCAAAAGTGTACCTTCTTATTTTGCACAAAGATTGTCATACCTGTCTTTACAGCCACCTCTGTATAAACTTTTCCCTTTACCACCAGTAATTCCAGAAATCCATAAGATTGAGTACTAACATTTTTTGTTTTAGTATTTTCTTCCACATATTAGGTATTCTATTATAACTTTAAGAGACTTCAATATCTTATTAGTCTTATGTAGAAATGCTTTTGTGTTCCAAGAAACACTGACTTTTAAAATAACTAGATTGCTTAAAATCACTGACACCAGGAAATATTTTTGTCCCCACTGAGCATAAGGGGGCAGCAGAGGTGTTATGTGCATGTCACCTAAAATAGTACTGTTGTGTAGCACAAAGAATCAGTCCGGTTCAATAATTGATTTGCTTTGTTTGACTTAACTCTAGTAGTAAATATAATTAATGTTTGAATGGAAATACTAATTGTTTCTGTGTGATGTATAACTTTGTTTTTAACATGTACTTGACACAAACTAGTCAAATCTGCTAAATTAGATATGGTAAAATTGTTTTTCAAAATCAGTTCAATTCTCATTTTAGTAAGCCGGGCATGGTGGTGCACGCCTTTAATCCCAGCACTTGGGAGGCTGAGGCAGGAGGATTGCTGTGAGTTCGAGACCAGTTTGGGCTACATAGTGAGTTCCAGGTTAGTCTCAACTACATAGTGAGACCCTGTCTAAAAAAAATAAAAAATAAAAAAAAAAATAAATAAAAGGTGCAATCTCATCTTAGTAAAGATTTTTTGTGGGCCCCGGGTATCTTCTGTGTATGTCTGTAGCTGTGCAGCTTTGATGTATTCATTCAAGTGCACTTTGGACAAGGTGTCGGTAGTAAAGCTGCACCTGATAATATGTTAAGAAATTTTTTGTTCTGTTTTGTTTTGTTGAGATGATGTCTGGCAGTGTTCCAAGCTATTGAATTCTGGGACTAAAGCAATCATCCTGCCACAGTGTTCCAAATAATTGGTAATATAGGACACTACATCCAGTAGGAAAAAAATAGGTTTTGAATAAGCCAAATAAATACTTTGCCCCCGATTTTCTTTGATGATAGTATTTGCCAAAATAAAACTTAAAATATGCTGTTGATTTTCCACTTGATTTGTGAACTTGCAAAAAAAAAAAAAAAAGCAGATGCTTAAGAAAAAAATATGTACTGTCAAGTAGGACATTTTTCTTTGAAGGGAATGAAAAAGTCCAAAATAATCTAGAGTAACATGATATATGAAGTCAGATTATCATGAAAATAGTCACGGAGGACTCACTTAAATTTAAATTTGAATCATATAAGCATCTCAAATTATGGTACAACAGGTGACCACAATTGGATTATGATCAAGGTTGAACCTTGGGATAAGGAAATGACATAGTTTCTTGAAGATTATAGATTTGAATAATTGTTAGAAATGACCAAGTATATACCTTCAAGGAAAAGGTTAAAAGAAATAGGTGACTTCTGTGTTTGAGAAATAGTACAGCGCAGTGGTTAAGAACCTGGGCTTCGGGGCTCACCTGTGTGTCAGGTTCGGGCTTTCTCATGTACTACCTGAGCTCTGTGACTTTGTCAAGTTGTTTAATTGTTCTGAAAGGCAGAGACCTCCTTTAAAAAGTTAAAGACCCGATCCAAAAATGGGCATCTGAAAGGAACAGACATTTCTCATACAAAGAAGTGAAAGCAGCAAGAAAATATATGAAAAAATGTTCCACATCACTGGTCATTCGAGAGATGCAGATGAAAACAACACTGAGATTCCACCTCACCCCACAAAGAATGGCTGCTATCAAGAAATCACACAATAACAAATGTTGGCGGGGTTGTGGGGAGAAAGGAACCCTCCTCCATTGTTGGTGGGAGTGCAGACTAGTGCAACCACTATGGAAATCAATATGGAGATACCTCAAAGAGCTTGGACTGGAGGTTCCATTTGACCCAGCCATCCCTCTGTTGGGTATCTTTCCAAGAGAACTAAAAGAATCATATCACAGAGAAGTATGTGCACCCATGTTTATAGCGGCACAGTTTGTAATAGCTAAATCTTGGAAACAACCTATTTGCCCATCCGTTGGAAACTGGATAAAGAAGTTGTGGTTTTTCTATAAAATGGAATATTACTCAGCCATAAAGAGCGAGAGAATAGATTCATTCATAGGAAAATGGATACATATTGAAGATATACTCCTAAGTGAAATAAATAAGTCCCACATGTGTAAATACCAAATAGTTTCCCTGGTGTGAATATTCTGCAACAATGCATAAGATTCTAATAAGATTACTGACATTTAGAAATGGGAGGAAAGGAGCTAAAGGTGTAGGGAAGGTGTGATACGTAGGGGAAGAACAAAAAGGGAAAAGAAAAAAATGTGAGAGAATGAAAAGATGAAAATAAAGTGTTTGTAGATGGGGAGGGGAGGAGGGGGTGAAGGGAGGGCAGAGGTAAGGGGAAAAAAATGAGAATCAAGACTTGCCATGTAAAGGTACATGATCCCAACAATGAATGTAACTGTACTGTATCCCTAAATGTACCAATAAACTCAATTAAAAAAAAAAAGTTATTGTGAGCTTCAGATGAGATAATATGTTTAATTGCTTGGAGTAGTGTCTGGTGCAGGCTAAACTTGCAAGAAATATTAGCCATCGCTTGTCTGTTTTGAAGCATGAAAAGTGTATTGTTTCCATAGTGTCAGTTTTGAAAGGAGGTGTTAGGGCCGAAAGATGTTGACTTTCCCTCCGAAAGCTGTCTTGGTGCTTGTGTCATCACGTGTAGCTAGGCTACAATGGTGAGTACACATTGCCAATGCTTTTTCAGTGTTTCTTATTATGCATAAAGACCTTCTGAACCTTTTGTATTGTGCAATAACCCTTTATATATCATTAGTTTGTTCTCTGTATTTAATGGGCTCCTCGCTCCCTCTCCTACTCCCTCTCAAACGTGTCTCTCAGTGGGGACTGAACCCAGGGCTTTCACACTGAGCTACATTTAAAAACATTTTTATTTTATTTTATTATTATTATTTTTTGGTACCAGGGATCGAACTCAGGTCCTTGTGCTTATGAGGCAGACAGCAGAACCACTGAGCTAAATCCCCAGTCCTTTTTTTTTTTTTTTTTTTAATTTTTAAATTTTTAAACATGGTCTGACTCACCCAAGACTGGGCTTGAACTTGTGATCCTCCTGCCTCAACACTTCCTGAGCATTGAGATTACAGTTGCTCACTACCATGTGCAGCTCAATGGTGGTTTTCTGAATTAAAAATTGAATTTAGGACTCATAGATTAAATTTTTTATTTTAATGACTTCAGAAACATTACATAAATATTACTACCTATGTGTAAGATAGGAATTTGTTACTGGCCCCATGAGCGTTTAGTTGAAAAGCAGTTCGGTTCTGGGGCAATTCTGGACAAATATTTATGTCCTCACATTTTCTTGTTTTTTGCTTTTCTTTATTTTTGTCTTTGATGAAAACGTACATAATCAGAATGCTCAAAGTCCCATTTTGCCTTGTGTCCACTAATATCTCATTCATTTCACACCTTCCCATTTTTGTGCAAACAGGAATGGAAAGTCATGGTTTCTTTGAGATATGACAGCAAGAAATGTTGCCCATGTGCTAGCAGGCTAACAAATATGTGGACATAATTGTATTTCTTAGAAGGTTTTTCATGTGTTATAGGAGGAAAATTTTATGATATATTGTTTTTCCTTTTATCTTTACAGAAACTTACAACTTAGAAGTATCTCAAGGCTCAGGAACGTTTCCTTCTGGGCATTATTACAAAGACCAGTGGAGTCCCAGAAAGTTTAAGATGCGCCAGTTTAATGACCCTGACAACATTACCGAATGCTTGCAGAGAAAGGTGGTCTATTTTTTTGGTGACTCCACAATCAGGCAGTGGTTTGAATACCTCACTGCATTTGTTCCAGGTTGGTACTTTGGCTATTTTCAGTTTATTTCCCACGTGCATGAACTCGGATCTGAAATAAGTAGACTTCTGCTGGTGCCTGAAGAAAGGCATCTTTTGAGGAAGCAGTTGTTTCTAGGCAGGACTAATGGAGTATCCTAACCTGGGAGAGATGCATGACAGTTTCTGATAAATAATGCAGCTGTTATTGTTCTGGGGGAAACCCTGATGAACTGTGTGACTTTGGATAAGTCATTTACTTCTCAGGATTCATTTCTCCCTGTATGAGATGAGACAGCTGGACAACGTTTCTGTATTTTTAAAATTTGACATTTTGGGTTATACAGTGGAAGTGGACATTTCCTTCATTTCTTTTCAAGTTCCATTTGGTCCAATTCCAAATTTCATAGTGTGTGACTGGATGGAAGTAGCCGGACTTACTGATTTATTTTAATGCATCGTGTAGTAAGACCTTCCAGTGCTATGACTCTGAGCTAGAGCTGACTCCTACTGAGGGAGTCTGGATAAGTTCCAGAATTCTTAGCGTCTTGATTTCTCTGCTTGGCTCTGAGACTGCTGTCTAGATGCAGAGCATAGCATCACTGGTTGAAAGCCCATCACTTATTTGCAAAAGGCTTTATTATTCTGGAAGTGGTGTGGATGAGGTGAAGAGGGATGGATCCTAGGAAACTGATAAGTTTGTGGGAACTTTTTTTATCGTTGTGTATGGGCAGGGCTTTTCATAAACTAAATCCTCATGGTTTGTTGTGAATTGTGATGTTTTTCATCAGCTCTCCTATTTATTACATACTTACTTTCAAATTTTAGTTTTAGAAGGAAAGGAAGAAGTAGATAGTATTCTAAAAGAAAAACCCACTTTCAGTTTTTGTTTGATTTTTATTGTAATGGACATAGCTGAATTCTTCTTGATAAAATAAACTAATCAAAAAGAAACTGTGTGGCATGATGCTGGGTATGGTTTGATCCTGAGTAGGCAGGGCTTTCAGGTGTTTGTAGTTGCTTGCTTCTTAATTTCTTATGATGTAGTTTGGTATTTCCACCAATGGTAATGATTACATTGCCCATTTTGTTTTCCACCAAACCCTTTACAGAAATATTTTTACCTGATAAAGTCTTGTATGTGTGCTTGATCTTAATCAGAAGAAAACAGTAGCTTGAGCTTTTGTGCAGTTTAAATAGGGCTGGTTGCTAAGTAGTAACGAATTAGGTAGGAAAATCTGGGAGAAAAGTCTGGGATTATAGGAAGGAAAAAGTGAAACCGGCTTTAACTAAGAATACAGAATAGTTTCAGTCTGATCCACCCTCTTCAGAATTGACTGTCTGCTCCCTGAGGGCAAGGACTAAGACATCCCTGTGCCTTGTAGTGCCTACAGAAGTGAGCACCGAATGGGTGCTTAGTAAGTGCTAATGGAATTGTGTTGCTAACATTTACTTACTCTGTTCTCTCTAAGGCGCTTTTGGGAGCATTTAGGTTGATGAGCCAGATCCTCTTCTCTCCTGGGGACATGTTTCAAGTGATGAATTGTACAGAGTTTTTTAGGAGTGACAAAGATGTCCCACTGATTCCTGAGTTCTTTGGAATATTTGAGAGGAACTGGATCTTGAAACACAATAGGGAGAGGAAGAGAAGGGAATTCTAAGATTGTGCTGCTGTTTTTGTTATTTCTTAAGATAGAGACACAAGTTCTATGGAACTTTAACATGATTTTCGAAAGGTAGGGTAAAATTGAAAGTCAAAAGAAACAATTACTTCTTTTACTACAAAATGAGGAACTTGCTTTTTTTTAGAATTATAATTAAGGTTGCTTTATTTTTAGTTTTAAAAGTTTATTTTAATTGTCACATAATATACAACAATTGTATATATTTGTGGGGTATGGTGTAATACTTTGATATGTATATACATTATAGAGTGATTATAATTGATATATTAGTATCACTTCACATTTATTTGTAGTGAGAACATTTAAGATTACTTTTTAAAGTCATTTTGAAATATGCGTTATTATTAACTGTAGTCACTGTGCTGTGTAATAGATCTCAGAAAACTTATTTCTCTTAGCTAAAGCTGTATACCCCTTGATTAGCATCTCTCCATTCTCCCCTCAACCCACTCCAAGCTCCATAGCCTGGTAAGTTTTTACTTACTACTGTAAGTGTTTAACTTGTTTAGATGCCACATATACGAGATCATGCAGTCTTTATCTCTCTAGCTCTAGCATATTTCATTTAACATAAAGTCCTTCGAGTTCATCTGTGTTGTTGCAAATGACTGAATTTCCTAAAAAGAAGTATTTGATTGCTAGTATATATTCATAAAACAGAAGGCACAACCCTCATCCTGGAAGATGTATCTCTTAGAAGAATAAAGTATAAATGTCAGTTTGTTTTAAAAATATTAAATAACCAGTGGAAACAGCAAGATTTCTTGGCTAAATAAAGGTAAACAGGTATTTTGTTTTGGAGGTAGAGACATAGCTATAGACTCTCTACTGATGGTATTATCTATCACAGCATGTTACTGGAATCAGGGAAATAGGTATTCCTTTACATTTGTATGTTTTGTTGTACTTTAATTTTATTTATTTATTTTTGGTACTAGGGATCAAACTCGGGTCCTTGTGCTTGTGAGGCAGGCGCCGGAACCACTGAGCTAAACCCCCAGCCTTTAATTTTAAAAACTATTCTTTGTGCCACTTAAAAATATTCAAAATATATATGCTTAATTTGAATGTTCATGAATTTGAGTTTTTCTTGTTTCAGATTTAGTGGAGTTTAACTTGGGTAGTCCCAAGAATGTGGGTCCCTTCCTTGCAGTGGACCAGAAGCACAACATCCTGCTCAAATACCGCTGCCATGGCCCACCTATCCGCTTCACTACTGTCTTTAGCAATGAGCTTCATTATGTGGCAAATGAACTGAATGGGATCGTGGGAGGGAAGAACACAGTAGTGGCCATAGCCGTATGGTCTCACTTCAGTACCTTCCCCTGGGAAGTGTACATCCGGCGGCTCAGGAACATCCGGAGAGCAGTGGTCCAGCTCTTGGATCGAAGTCCTAAGACCACAGTGGTCATTCGGACAGCCAATGCCCAAGAGCTAGGGCCTGAGGTGAGCCTCTTCAACAGTGACTGGTACAACTTTCAACTGGACACCATCCTCCGGAGGATGTTCTCAGGGGTTGGCGTATATCTTGTTGAAGCCTGGGAGATGACCTTGGCCCATTATCTACCCCACAAGCTGCATCCAGATGAAGTTATTGTGAAGAACCAGCTGGACATGTTCTTGTCTTTTGTGTGCCCCTTGGAGACCTAGCCTGCCTTGGCAGAGACTAGAGGAAGCTCTTTCAGTGACCTTTCCAACTGATCTGCATTACAGAAGGTTTGTGTGTGGCCTCATTGTGAAGTGGCTACTATCAATATGTAGAAAAATTTAAAAAAAATCTGTATTTTAATGAACTGTAAGGAACTTAGTCAGTGCAGGTTACATTTATAATTACCTATAGGATTTTTTTTTCAGTCTTAGCCATGGTAGAACCTTATTAACAGCATACACACTGTATTCCCCCAGTAACCAAAGACATCAATGAGTGTATTTCAACTAGCTTATTTGGGAGTGGAGGTTATTGTACTAAAACATAAGAAAAATGTTCTGATGTAAACGGAAGGGGCAAATTTTGTTGACAGTAGAGCCATCTTTGTTAGTAGCACAAATGATCCATCTTGCGGGGGAGTGAATTAGGGCTTATGGTCAGAGGCTCCTGTAACACAGTGAAGACTGCCATGTCTCAGGGGTTTCTCTTGATCTACCTTTTCTGAATTACTTGAAAAGACCAATGTGGTTGATCAGCATTTTATAGTGAGGATATTAACAAGTTCCTGTTTTTAATCTAAGGAAGAAGCAGAAGAGAAATATATAAGCAGTATATATAAAATCTGTGTTTTGAATTGATATTTGCATTGAATGATTATTTCTTACTTGATTCAACAAATTTTATGTGATGAATACTTATTCTAGAATAATCACTTTTAGAGCTGAGAGGGGGACTCTATACACAAAATTTTATTTTTATGTTCTGAAGTTTGAGGGTTTTAAGGATTAACTTTTATGTAAAGGATGCTATTATAAAATTTTAGAGCTTTCTTTCCACTAATTTCAAGTATTTGGATTTTGGTTATTTTGACCTACACATCAGAAATTAGAATCTAATTAGAAATTAATAAAACTAGATATAAAACTCCATGACAGGTGTTTCTTGATTTACATATAAGGTATACACATTCTCTCATACTTGGAAGTAAAGAGCTGCTTACTACTAAGAATATTTGAATTGCCAACTTTGTTTTATTTTATCTTGTCAATTTTAAATGAGTTTAGTTAATTTGGGATCATTTATTAAGTACCCTTCTTTTTGAGCTATGATAGATTACATTCTAGTATTAGTTGTAACTAGACATGTGAAGGAATTGGGAAGGTTTTCAGAGATGAAGATGGATGTTTAAAGCATGAAAAGTTTGAGAAACACAAAGAGGAAGATAGAACCAGGAAAGTGACATTCATCTGTTGTTTCAAGAGCTTTACCAGTATCCTACTCAATTCTGAGTATGACCTATTAAGGTAAGTGATACTAGCTCCATTTTATATATGAATAACTTGAGTTTGGATTTGAACTAAAGAATGGGGGAGTCCACACCCCTTTTCAGCTACAAATTGTGAAGCTTTTGCGAAGAGGTTTTATTTTTTGAGAACTTTTGGTATTTTTCAAGAAATATTGTTGGATGAAGCTGAGGAATCGTTTTCCTTGGGGAATTTCTTTTCTTTTTTTTTTCATTCACTATTTTTATTGGTACATTTAAGGTATACAATATGCTGACATTCATTATTGGGAATTTGTACCTTTACATAATATATCTTGGTTCTTATTTTTCCCCATCCCCCTGCCCTTCCTTCAACCCCTTCACCCCTCCCTATTTAAAAATTCTGTTTCCATTCTTTCCTTTTCTCATATTTATTCATTTTCCTTCTTTAATTTCCCCTACCTCTCCCACTTCCCCTTCCCTTTTTGGACCTTTGCATATTTTATATTATCTATCATACATTTTGATCCTTATTTACACTTTTAGCTTCTCACACCAGAGAAACTATTCAGTATTTACACTTGAGTGTCACCTCAATGTGCATCCATTTAGCTATAACTGTCTCTAGTTTCTCATTCTTTATGGCTATTACTCCATTTTATTTTTATTTTTTTCTTTGTCTTTCATTGAGTTTATTGGTACGTTTTAAGTATACAGCGCAGTTACATTCATCATTGGGATCTTGTGCCTTTACATTACAGATCTTGATTCTCATTTTTTCTTCTTTGGGGAATTTCAAGAACAAAGAGAAGACTGCCTCTAGTGGTCTGGAGAGATGCTGCTTGTGATTTCCTGTGACCTCATCCAGTTTCTGTTACTTTTTGATTTGATTACATAAAGTCCTAAAGATTTGATGACATACATTCTTGAGATAATATCCACTTTCTTTCCTTTTTGTCTTTTTACACTGTGGTGTGGAAATTTTAACAGAGATTGAAATATTACCTGATCTTTCTCAGAACAATTAGGTATATTTTGAAGATCCATAATATGAAAACTTAAAATTTGAAATGCTTTAAATTCCGAAACTTGTTTTTCTTCTCCATGGGAAAGGTGTTTTTTTAAATTAAATTTTTATTGGTACGTGTTTGCTCTACATAATGACTATATTCGTGTGGAGTTGGTACATGTACATAATAACATTTTAATTATTTTTTACCCCCTTTTCCTTCTTCCCCCACCCTCCACCCCCTTCACTTTTGCAAAAGATCGATCTATTTCCTATTATATATCCTTTGTTTTGTTCTTTTTATTTTGGATTTCTCATATGAGAAACAATGTGATATTTAAATTTGTGTCCAAAACTTTGAGTATCCGACATGATACCACCAGTAGAAAATCCTACCCCTGATCTTAAGTGACAAGTCACAGCCAAAACACAGACACTAAAATTTTGTATAAAATCACCTTCAGTCTATTTGTATAAGGCTTATATGAAACCAATTTCATATGTAGGCTTGGATCAGTCACTGAGAATCTCTTCTACGTATGCAGATATTCCAAAATATTAAAAATCCAAAATCTGAAACATGTACAATAACACCTTCAGAAAAATTTATTGCAGACCTGTACCACACAGTTGTGAATATTAGCATGTCAGCCAAAAAAGTATATTTTAAATAATTTTTCCTATTATAAAGGATTTCATAAATTTAAAAAACTATAAAACCTGGAACAAAAAAATCTATAGGTAAAATCTATAATTCTATCATCAATGCAATGAATTTTAGCAGTTTTGATATTTTTCTTGCAGGTTTTTTTTAACCACCTACCATTGTCCTGCCATATTTCTGGGATCTGATATGTGGGTTCAACTACTGTAATTTCAGATAAAAATATTTGGGAAAAAATCTGTACTAAACTTAATAGAGAATTTTCTTGTCATTATCCACTATACAGTATAATAAGCACCTATTTACATAGCATTTACATTGTGTTAGGCATTATAAGTAATGTAGAGGGGATTTAAAGTATATGGAAGATGTTCATAGGTTATATACAAATATTTCACCCTTTTATTTAAAGGTGAACATCTGCCGAATTTGGTATCTGCAGGGGGTCATAGAACCAAAATCTGAGGAAGAATTGTAGTTATAAACAATATAACATACAGTATAAATATTTTTCTATGTCAAATAGTCTTAATACCATAATTATAAAGGTCTGCCTCATAGTTCTCTAATGATGTTATTAGTACATACATTGGCCATTATATGGTTGGATGTTTAGGCTTACAATAAAATATTAAAACTGGTTTATATATAATTTCTATGGATTATAATGTGGATTTTTATTTTGGCCTGGCAGTATTAATATAACTGAATCTCATATTCCAGAACTGAAATAATAGATTTGATGGTATTGTATCAAGGTCTTCTATGAAAATTATATTTTATAGATGTTATTGTGAGATAATGAAAAGATGGAAATAAAGTGTTTGTAGATGGGGAGGGGAGGAGGGGGTGAAGGGAAGACAGGGGTAAGGAGAAAAAATGAGAATCAAGACTTGTCATGTAGAGGTACAAGATCCCAACAATGAATGTAACTGTACTGTATCCCTAAAATGTACCAGTAAACTCAATTAAAGCTGAAAAAAAAAAGTAACCATCTTTTTATTTTTATTTTTTTAAAGAGTAACCATTCTTTAGCAGATATAAAACAGATCTTTGGTGTTCCAATATGACCCATTTTACCTTTTTTTTTTGGTACCTGGGATTGAACTCAGGACCTTGCACTTGCAAGGCAAGCAGCGGAACCACTGAGCTAAATTCCCGGCCCCATTTTAATGTTCTGAACAACTGTAATGCTGACATTTTCTTACTTCATGTACTACGCTTCAGGTTGATAGATTAGGGTTCTTGAAAAGAGTATGATAAACCACTATTCAAATGTTACATGTCAGAAGTGAGTCTGTTTCTTGGTTCTGTTGAAGGAAATGACACTTATCCAAGAGAAACAAATAGACTGCCCAACCCTCCAGAAAAACTTAGCATTATTTTTGTGGGATCTGGGTAAATTCAGCCGCTAAACATTAGTCACTAATGCTAGAAGCTTCTCTTCTCAAGTATAGTCATTTTTCATGTTTTAAGAATTATTCTCCCTGGGATTTATTCTACAATAAAGTTTCAGTGAACACAGGGTGCCTTTACACCTCACTTTTTTTTTTTTTTTTTTTTTTTTTTTATGACACAGTCTCTGAGTGCTACTGGAACCTGGCCGTAAGGGAAGGTGGTGGCAGAAGGTTATTGAGGGCAGAAGTTCATAGGACATAGAAGCTGAAAGCACAAAACACTTCACCAAGTTTAATCTGTCTCTTGAAAGTGCACCTTTTAAAAAAGGTGAACTGAAATGCATTATATGTAATTTTCTTTTAATATCTGAAGTAAGAGGAAAGCAGGCCTATTGAGTTTTAAGAACGCGACGTGCTTGTCTGGAGGACACGCCTATTCCTATTGGAAAACCAGACAGCCGTCATTTCCTGTGTAATTACAAGACTGGATTGTAACATGCCTGGAGAAGATAAAGTAAAAAAGACAAAGGCAGCTAAACAAAGATCACAGTATCCAGGGTCCCAAAAGGAAAAGAAGTGACAGTGAAACTAAATGTCAGCAGAAATCCTTTCAGTGTTGTGCAATGGTTCATTCCCCGTATAAATCCACCCCACCCCAAATGCCTGTGAAAAGTGATCTTCGTGTCACAAGACCACTGCTTTTTTAAAAGAATTTTTTATTGGTACATTTTAGATAAACATGATAACATTCAGAGGAAAAAAGGCGTAAAGATCACCGCTTTCTGAGGCAGGTTCCTCAGCCTTTAGTTTGTCAACAAACTCAATAGCGATACTACTGTGACCGCCACATTTAAAAAGCCGTGTTGTAAAAGGTACCTCCCCATTCCATCCCCACACTTAAAAGGTAAGAAAGGGTAAAATAAGAAGTGTCTCTCACGAGGAGGAAACTGGTTTTTGGTATTGATTCACTGGGGCAGTTAAGAAAAAGTCTTCAGAGAAAGGTTTTGTAGCCCCCTGACTCCGCGCGCGATTCCAGTCCGGGTCTTGGAGCCGGCCCTCGCGGGGAATGTCCGGGCTCCGTCCGTACCTTTTTGGCCTGGGAATTTCCAGTGTGCGGAAAAAGTCCGCAAACCTAGTGCTCACTGCCCCCTCCGCCTCCTCGGCCCTCCTCGGTGCCCACGCAACCCAGCTCGAAAGAGAGACGACCGTGCCATGTACTTGAGAAAGCACGCTCTCGACCCCCCCCGCCCGCCGCGCCCACTGGTCCCGCTCTATAAAGGGGCTCGGGCCAGGGTCGGCTCCTCCCTCCCAGGCCACGCGCGTCCCCGAAGGGCTGCCCGGCCGTGCAGCCTGCGAGGCAGTGATCGCGCTCAGCTCGCGTGTACTGGGCTTACTGCCGCTGAGTACAGATGGAAGCACTTCATTTCCTTTTACGTATTTGTATGACTTGACTCTTCAAACACAAAGGTATACTTTTATTATTTGATATTTACTATGAAAAAGTATCTTACATGCTGCCCTCCCCTCCCGCTTTCTTCCACATCTTCTTAACTTCAGAGTCACTGTTTTATGTGTAAGTAATAATAATTGGTTTGGGGCAAAATATCGGGAGTCAGGATCTTGGAGAAGAAAACTCTGGGACGTTTTTATAATCTGGCAGTGGCGTGAATCATGTCTATTACCTTAAAGGCAGGAAAGACTGGTGGGCTGGCTGGGTGATGAAGACAGTGTAAAGTTAATGTAATAATTTAGTGGTGTAGAACTGTGATATCCTGAGGCAGAAACCTCCCAGGAGTTTTGATGTATGGGTTTAGAGGTATACTTTCCCACTAAGGGTAGTCATAAAGCTATTTTTATGGAAAAATATTTGAATAGATTGAAATGTTTTATAGCATGCCCTCAGTAATCCTTATATTACCTCTGTAAAATTAAAACTTATGAGAGACCAATAGGGACATTTAAAATTTGGTGACTTGGCTGGACCATTGGGTTAATAATAATCTACAAAGCATTTTAAGGGATTTTTGTCTAAATAAAAGCATGTTTCTAGATAGGATGGATTAGAGGTTCTCTACAGGCATTTGTGAACTAGATTTAGTGGGTGAAGGGATTGTCCCAAAGAGGATGACATTTATTATGTAAATCTTAAGTACTTGGTAATATATATAACCTCAATTTGAATCTGGCATCTTAAGAAACACATATCTGCCTGAGTGGAATTTTTTTTTTAAATTTCTCTTAGGTGTAGGTTGTTCTGACAATAAAAGAAGAGAAAAAATTTCAGTACTCACCATCCTCAGTAATTCTTCACAGAGGAGGGAATCAGCCACACAGATCATGTAAACATGCAGATAACCTGAACATCTTTGCTTGGCTTCAAAACACTGTGTATGATCCACCAGTCCCTGCACCATCCATCTAAAATCATTTTGCTTAGGCTGAGACCCCATTGGGCAGGGTACAGGTGAGAGCAGGGGGTGATCGAAGAGTCGGTGTGGGAAGACAGCACAAGAAGTCACCTCATTGAGTTAAGTGGTTGGAAGCATCCTTTCCATTGTGGACATGGTGGCCATGGTTAGCTTAACTTAGTGGCTCAGATACTGACTTCCTTTCTGAGAAAAAGGAGGCAAAGCCTTGTCTTTGTGCTTTTTCCTAAAATAGCTCTCAAAAACCAAAGAAACCCTCCCAAAAGTTATGGACTCCTGAGTAGACTCCTCCTATAGGCTTCTGTAGCTCTTCCGAGTGCATCATTGAAAGGAAGATTTTCTAATTGCTCAGAGATCAACTATAAATTGCTCCTGAAATACACTTCCTTTTGGTTCTTAGCTGATATTGATCTGGTGGCCTCTTGACTTTTTCCTCCCTCAGGTTAATGGGAAGATCACAAAGGCCCAGGCTGAACTTCACCTTTTGACTTTCTTGGCCTGATGCTGAACTCCTAAGGGTGAGAGGGGCAGATAATTGTAACCAACTGGTATCCAAGTGTTTTCTGGGCCTTGGCTGATATAGTCAAAATGTTGAAAACTAATTTGTAGAATTTCCATTATTTTTTCATGAGGAGAGCACATGAACACAGACAGCTAAGAGGGGAATTCAGCTCTCTGCTGACTGACACTTTCAGGGTGATGTAATCTTTTACATGCTCAGAGAGCATCATGTCCTGTCAGA